CGCCGGAGCTGCTCTGGGGCAGGGAACCAGGGCTCCCGGTCCCAGTCGAGGCGCCCCATGGGGCTGCCACCACCCAGCCGCTCCTCCTCCTCCTCCTCCCAGCCTGCACACAGCCTCAAGGAGCCGCCGGCCGGCTCCAGCCTCCTCCTGCAAACAGCAAACGGCTTCTCCTCTCTCCGCAGGCACCATGCTGCAAGGCAGGGCCTGGGGACGGGGCACCCTGGCCTTGGGGGTCCCCAGCGCTGGGCGGGCACCGGGCTGTGCCCCCTGCGCTGGGGCAAATGCAAAGGGCTCTTACTTCTACTGGGAGAGTTCCAGAGGGTGGCAGAGGATTTGGAGAGCCGCTTGTTGATTATAGAGTCGACGTGTTTGGGGAGGTTTACGGCGGACACCGAGCACCGGCTCGCACCTGGAGGAGGGAAAAGACACAAGGACATTAAGGTCCCGGCACCGGGGCCGGGCCCCCCACATGCAGCATGCACAGCCGCGCCGGGGCACTGGGGCAGGAGGATACGACACAGAAAGTGGGGCCAGGAGATGCTGGTGTCCAGGGACGTGACACACAGCGCTGGCATCCGGCACGGCACGGTGCCTGAGCCCCAGGGGGTCATGCTGGGATCATGCAGGGATTTCATCCTCCGGGAGGCAAGGTGGCTCCCGGGCCCTCCCATGCCAGTCCCCCCCAAAAGCCATCCTGGGAACGGGGAACCAAGTGGCCAGGGACCTCAGCAGCACCAGGCGAGCAGCGAGCCTGGGGGAGCAGGTTGGGGACAGCAGATCCAGACACAGGACAACGCTCACACTGGTACCAGGTCCCTACAGCAGGTGCAAGGAAGGTGCTAGTGGCCGGCAGCACCTCCACAGGGTGCCAGGACACCTCTGCCCTGGTCAGGCTCCTCCGGAAAGAATGACATGGGGACATTGCTGCCGGCAGAAAAGACTGGTGAGCGAGACTGCCAGCGGCAGCTCCAGCAGCGCGTCCCACGTGGGAAGTTGCAGGGGAAGGTGTCCCCTCGCCGGACCCTGCTGGGTGCTGCACACACAGGTCCGTCCCTGAATGTGCCACAAGTCACAGCCGGGCACACGGTGCCCGTCCGCACAGCCTGTCTGGGCAGAGCTGGCTGCACAACACCGGTACGCACAGCCCGGCCAGACACCTGGTGCCTGTACACGCATGGTGCCAGGCACGGCCAGGCACGCAACACCGGTACGCACAGCCCCAACAGGTACGTGGTGCCGGTACACACCGCCCGGCACACAATGCCTGTACACACAGCCCAGCCAGGCACGGCCGGAGCTGCCACAGCCGCCCCACGGCACAAGCAGGGCAGACAGGCCCTGGGGGCACCGCGCTCCCCTCTATGCCATTGGCCTTCGATCGCACACACCAGGGAGTGCCAGCACCTGCTGGTGCAGCCCTGTCCCCTCAGCGATCAGGGGAGACCTCCACACATCCAACCCTGCTGCCAAACCCCGCGGGGCGTCCCCGAGGAGCCCCTGAGGAGAGGGGCCAGCGGGGCTCAGTGCTCCTGCTGTGGGGCAGTGGGCATGGCTGAGCCTCCAGCAGCCACTGCAGGGGCACGGCAGCACACGGCACGGCGAGGCACGGCACGGCCATGCGCACCCTGGCGCAGGCACACCCGGTTACCCCCGTGTTGGGGCTGGAGGGGCAAGTGCTGCCCCCACCCAGCCAGGGGACAAGGGGACACGCCGCAGCACAGACTCCAACCGGAAACAGCAACAGCCTTGCACGGCTCCACAACCCATGCCCAGCTGCCAGAGACCCGGGCACTGCGGCCATGGCGTCCCCGCAGGCAGCCAGGGCCGTCCCCAAGCACATCCCTGCACCGCACGGTGACCGTGACGCACAGCCTCCAGCTCACGCCCGGCCTGAGGGATATGGTGCCACGAGAGTCGGTAAAAGCCAAGGGACCCCATTGGGCCCTGGCACAGCCCGTGGTGACGGCAGCATCACCCCACAGCAGAGCGGGGCCGAGCTGGGTTTGGGGGGTCTCGCCCTCCTCGCACAGAGCACCGCAGAGCCGTGCCCAGCCGCCCCCGCCACCGGCAGAGCCACGGGGCTCCGGGTGCCCTCGCCCAGCCCGGCACTCACCATCCTTGTGCGCAGGGGAGCCGTGGTGCAGTGCCCCAGCCCAGGACCACCGCTGCTGCCGGATCTCTGCCCATGTCTTCTTGGCCGACCGCTGGATTGCCGCCTCGTAGCGCTCCTGCCCAAGGGAGAGGGACGGGGTGAGGCCGGCAGCCAGAGGAACAGGGCTGGGACCAGCTGGAGCTGCCCGGCATGAGGATACCGCAGCAACGGGGATGCTTGGAGGGAGACGGGGCAGGGATGCCCATCCTGGCCAGGGCACATGTGCACAAGCAGCTGGGCACCACGGAGGCTCTGCACCATGAAGGATGGGCACCGCAGAGGCTGGGGGTGGTGGGCAGCTCCCCAAGAGCCACAGCGTCTCCCCAGGAAGCGCATCCCCAGTATGCCCC